CCCCCCCCCCCCCCCCCCCCCCCCCCCCCCCCCCCCCCCCCCCCGCCGCAGTCTGCATTCCAGCCATCTGGGATTTGTGTTGTCTCTTCGATTGGCACAGGGAAGAGCTAAATCAGACTCCACCTTGGATCTGTTTCTTTGACTTTAACCTTTGCTTTTAAAAAAAAAAAAAATTATTTATTGGCTGCGTTGGGTTTTTTTGCTGTGCACGGGCTTTCTCTGGTTGTGGCGAGCGGGGTCTAATCTTCGTTGCGGTGCGCAGGCTTCTCATTGTGGTGGCTTCTCTTGTTGCGGAGCACAGGCTCTAGGCACACGGGCTCTAGGCGCACGGGCTTCAGTAACTGTGGCTCGCGGTCTCTAGAGCGCAGGCTCAGTAGTTGTGGCACACCGGCTTAGTTGCTCCGCGGTATGTGGGATATTCCCGGGCCAGGGCTCGAACCTGTGTCCCCTGCATTGGCAGGCGGATTCTTAACCACTGCGCCTCCAGGGAAGTCCAAGAAAATGTAATTCTTAAAGTCACAGGAACACTTAAAGAAGATGCAGTTCCTTCACTGGACTAAAATGTAGATTTTGGCTTTACCTAGTAAGCCAGAATGAAGGAGAAAATGTGAACTTTGTCTGTAGAGAGCCTGAGGTCTGGGCCTAGACCACCACTTACTGCATGCGTGCCTTTGGAAAATTTATTCAGCCTCCCTGCTTTACTTTCTTTCTTGTAAAATGGGGAAAATGAGACCTACCTTGCAGGATGGTTTTGAAGACTGAATACAAAATGTAAAGGATCCAGCACAGCCCTGGTGACCAGGTGCTCATCGATGGCATTGTTTAAAAGTCCTCCTGCATTTTAATTATTTAAAGGTCTTGTGGCCTGGCTCAGAGTTACAGGGAGCTCAGGACATACTGTACCCCTGGTGGGAAGAGGCACTATGTCTTTACTGTCAGTGCCTTAAGAGAATGAGGAAAAGCTGGCAGAGCACTAGGAAAGCAATTGCAGCAAAGAAGCATGGGAAATGAAAATGGGAGAATTTGGTTCTCACTGGATCTCGGAGTCACACTGAAGAGCAGGGATTTCTTTTCCTGTTCCCTTTTCCTTCTCACTTGCTCAGGAGGGAGGCTTCTCAGGGAGGGCAGCCAGGGGCAGGATTCCAACGGGCAGAAGAAGGAGCCTTGCTTCTCCAGTCTGCTGCTCTCTCCAGTGCTTTAATGAAATTCATATTCAGACATTAAAAAAAAATATAACACTGGGGCTTCCCTGGTGGCGCAGTGATTGAGAGTCTGCCTGCCGATGTAGGGGACACGGGTTCATGCCCCGGTCCGGGAAGATCCCACATGCCGCGGAGCCTGCGCGTCCGGGAGCCTGTGCTCCAAAACGGGAGAGGCCACAACAGCGAGAGGCCCGCATACCGCAAAAACAACAACAACAACAACAAAAAACACTTTGTTTTTTTAATTTCAAAGGCAAATCATATTCATTCTGGACAATTCATAGAGGCAAAAAGAAGAAAAAAATTATCCAAAATTCTACTGCTAGACAACTACTGAAACCATTTGGGAGGCTATCCTTTCAAAGTTTTTTCTAAGCAATAAGGACGTAAACCAGTATATTCTTATAATAACAAACGAGATGGAATGGTACACACTGTTCCGTAATGTGATCTTTTTCACTGGGCAGATTTCCATGTCAGTAAATGAATGTATCTAATGTCATGATGGGCGACATCAGTGGATGCTCAGGTAGCCAGCCACAGGCACCCATGGTGCCCTCCCTGGATGGAGACTTGTAGCTTGTTTCTGTGAACCATGGTTCAGTGAGCAACTTTATAGTCGAACTTAGTACAACCCACAATTGTTTCCTTACAGTGAATTCTCACATTCAGTCTTAACTTTCTCAAAAAAAAAGAAGACAATAAGACTATGTGATTAAAATTTTTAAATCACAAGGAGGCCTCTTTGGAGAGGAGGGAAGAAACTGTAACTCAGCATATGATGATTTTATTTCCGATTCTGCTCAACCTCCACGTTTATCTCAAGCACAGCCTTATTTCTCGTCAACAAACTTCAGAAACAAGACAAAGTCCTTGTCCTTAAAGAGATTACAATCTAGTAGCCAGTATAAGAGACACAATAATTCTCTTTCATTTACACAAAAGTACCTGATTTTTTACCATGAGAAGCGAGGACAAGATGGATGCAATAATAATAATAGCCAATGTTTAATGAGAACTTACCATATCTGTGAACTGTTAGTATATTAAATGTTATACAATGCATACACAATGTGTATACAATTGTATAACAAATGTTACACAATGTTATACAATGTATAACAACTGTTAGTATATTAAATGTATACAGTATATACAATGTTATATACAGAATAAGCATTGTGATGTAACTTTCCAGATATTGCGGCCTGAAAACGGGCTTGCTGATGTCCCCCATGGTGGGGTTCATAGTGACCAATCAGTGCACCTCCCACTCGCCGGTCGGCTTTCCTCAGATCGCAGTGGCTGTGTTGGTCATGGAGAAAGTTGGTCATTCCAGCGTGCATTACCGCCTTGCTCTGTTTCCCCCCAAGCCCACCAAGGAGCCACCTTCCGTCGATCTCCGGCACCTCAGTGATGGCTTTTTCTTTGGCCACCCCAAGCTGGCGCAGTTTGCCGCTTTGGCCTGTACCACTGGGTCTTCAGTCCATGTCTTTGTGAATCCAGCCATCAGCAAGCCGGTGGGCCTTCCTGAAGACTTCCGGCGGGGCTTCCTGTGGCTGATGAGCCCGGCCCCAGTGTGAAGGTTTGTATGGGAATCGCGCCTGCCAGAAAATAAAGTGCAGATGATCCTCTAAACAATTTCTTAAGTATAGTTGATTTACAATGTTGTGTTAGTTTTAGGTGTACAGCAAAGTGATCCAGTTATACATATTTTTTCAGATTATTTTCCATTTAGGTTAGTACAAGATATTGAATATAATTCCTGGTGCTATACAGTAAATCCTTGTCGCTTATCTATTTTACGTAGAGTAGTTTGTATCTGTTAATCCTATACTCCTAATTTATCCCTACTCCCTCCCTTTCCCCTTTGGTTACCAAAAGTTTGTCTTCTATGTCTGTGAGTCTGTTTCTGTTTTATATACAGATTCATTTGTATTATTTTTTAGATTCCACTATTAAGTGATACCAAATAATATTTGTCTTTCTCTGTCTGCCTTACTTCGCTAAGTATAATATTCTCTAGGTCCATCCATGTTGCTGCAAATGGCAATATTTCATTCTCCAGACGGTTTCTTTTTATTCCTTAGCTTGTCTTTTCACCCTTAGGAGAGGGTATTTTTTACCCTTTATGAGAGTCACCTAGCTCCACCGATCAAGCATCTCCTTGCGTCAGGCCTGGGCAAAGTGCTTCACACTCAGGGCCTCACTGAGCCCCCCACAACCACCCAGCCGGGCCTCTTTTACAGAAGAGGAAAAGGAGGCTTGCAGAGTGGAAGTCATTGGCCTAAAGTCGTTCAGCTAGTGAGTGGGTCTGACTCTCAAGTCACCTGGGCATGCTCTCTACGGGCATCTTTCTTTATCTCAAATATCTTAGCAGCACGGCCACATACTTGCTGTGGCGTAGGACCGCTAATCTGATGTGAGTCATTAAATGTCCTCAGCTTCTTATACTTAATAACCATGTGAACTCTTCTATTTTTAAGTTGTGAACCTTAAAAAAAACACAAAACTTTCATATATTTAAAACAACAAACACCTTTGACAATTTTCTGATAAATCCACAACCTCCCTCAGTCACTAATGCCACACGTGGAAATCTAAAATGAACCACAAATAAACAAAATCTTTGATGCTGAAATACGTAAGGACCTTATTTTGGTGTAATAATAAAAATGGTTACCATTTCGTGAGCACTGACCACACAAAATGCTTTATGTTCGTTACCTTAATTCATCCTATTTCTCTTCTACAAGGTAAGAGTTATTGTGGCCATTTTTCAGATGAGAACGTTAAGGCTTTAAAGGGAACATCTGGAGTCGGCGAAGGTGTTCTAGTCCAACCTCTGCCTCAGTCCGGAGAAAGGGAAAAGCACAGGCTTAATTTCTCTGGGCCTCAGTTTCCTCCTCTGAAAATATAACATTTCCCAGCTGGGTCTCTGAATATTTTTGAATGTGCAGAGAGTCTTTGATCTGCTTTTGAATTACATTCCAAATCCCTACCACATATAACTAGCTTTGGAATACCCTGACCGTGACAAAAACAACATTAAAAGCTATTCCTGGGCTTCCGTGGTGACGCAGTGGTTAAGAATCCGCCTGCCAATGCAGGGGACACGGGTTTGAGCCCTGGTCCAGGAAGATCCCACATGCCACGGAGCAACTAAGCCTGTGCACCGCAACTACTGAGCCTGCGCTCTAGAGCCCGCGAGCCACAACTACTGAAGCCCGTGCGCCTAGAGCCCGTGTGCCTAGAGCCCGTGTGCCTAGAGCCTGTGCTCCACAACAAGAGAAGCCACCACAATGAGAAGGCTGAGCACTACAACGAAAAGTAACCCCCGTTCTCCGCAACTAGAGAAAAGCCCACACGTAACAACGAAGACCCAACACAGCCAAAAATAAATAAATTTATAAAAAATAAAAAGCTATTCCTTTGTCATTTAATCCATTCAGTTTCACCCAATAATAGATCAGTTTTCAGGTTTTAAAGCACTTCACACAAGAATTCTAAATCTTGGCAAGACCACTAACCAGCAGCCTGGTGTTGGCAGGCATTGATCTATCTGACTGGCATTTGACCACCTGAGGAAGGTCATCAGGGAAAACTCAGTCCTTGCAGTTCTTGCATGTGCATTACTTACCTCATCTTTGTAACTACCTCAAATCCAGTTTGAGTGTTTCCCCAGACCCAGACCCTGGAACTGACCAGAATTGAGAGTGCAGATGGATTTTTGGACATAGCTCCAAGTTCATGTAAATCTCATGAGTTTAAGTGCTGATGACACAATCTTCCCGCTGCTCAAAATTTAAAAACTTGAATGTGAGCCAAAGTGGTGGGTGTTATGACGCTCATTGGTTTTTAGAGGGGAGGTTCTAGAGCTATGAACTTGTTTTAAGAATACAGAAAGAGGGACTTCCCTGACCGTCCAGTGGTTGAGACTTTGCCTTCCAATGTGGGAGGTGCGGGTTTGATCCCTGGTCCGGGAGCTAAGATCCCACATGCCTCGGGGCCCAAAAACCAAAACATAAAACAGAAACAATATTGTAACAAATTCAAAAAAGACTTTAAAAATTGTCTACATCAAAAAAAAAATCTTAAAAAAAGAATACAGAAAGAATAATAATAAAAAAGTACAGAGAGAGCCAAATCTTTAGTTGCATGTACTTGGAGGAAGCTAGATTTTACTACAAAGGTGGCAAAATAAATCTAGACTTTAAAAAAATCCAGTCAGCCATTCACCACTTTACACCATATGATGTTTTTGCTGAGCTGCTAGCAAGTAGGCATGTAACTGTTGTTTGCTGGGCACTTCTGAGCAGATATGACTCCTGCATTTGCTAACAAGGAACAAGTACAGTAGTAATCCAAGCGGATAAAGAAAACCTTCAGGTGTGCAGATTTTCTAACTACATCTTTGTTACACTCGAATTCGTTCAAAAATCTACAGTAAGAGACAAGAGGTACAAAATATGTGTTCATGTTTTGCTTGGACAGATTTTGGCTCCTAGCAATTAATGCTTTCAATCACATTAAGCATATAAATAATGCTTTGTGACATAACAGTATTTCCCATTACAGATCGATTTTGTAGCATTTGTTCATAATCAGACTTGAAATGTTACCTAGAAACAAAATATGTTTTCCTTGAAACAGTCAGACCCTATTAGAAATCTAAGGCTTTACAAATCACCATGTTAACAGCTATGTCCCCTAGCTAAGGTTTTTTTTCCTTAAATAGTGTTAAATTCAGCCCCAGAAGCACTAGTCTCTTTGAGGGTTCTCTTCTTATGTGCACTGACTTGAAAGGAAAAACTTAGTGCTCAAAATATATCTAATGTCTTACTATGTATAACTTAATAAACTAACCAGTATTCCCTTTTGGGGGAAAAGTAACGTTAGCACCTTTTAAAAGTGTTATGCTTGGGCTTCCCTGGTGGCGCAGTGGTTGAGAGTCCGCCTGCCGATGCAGGGGACACGGGTTCGTGCCCCAGTCTGGAAAGATCCCACATGCTGCGGAGCGGCTAGGCCCGTGAGCCATGGCCGCTGAGCCTGTGCGTCCGCAACGGGAGAGGCCACAACAGTGAGAGGCCCGTGTACCACAAAAAAAAAAAAAAAAAAAAAAAAAAAGTGTTATGCTTATAATTGGGTTACACTATATTATTTTCTCATTTTTTAAAAGACAGGTTCTCATTGCTTGAAAAAAATGTGTCAGCCTATTTCTAGGTAAGAGGAGTTATTCTCATTTCTTGACCACATCTACTGTGGGTGAGCAAAGAAATAAAGGGAACATAGATTCAGAGATTTGGAGCAGTAAAATTTAGTGTTAAACTGCAGAGATTTGGGAGCAAGGAACACCTGGATTTGAGTTCTGGTCCTGCCATATAATCAGCCTGGAATCTTGGGCAAATTACTTTTCATTCAGTGAATGTTAGCTATTTTGTAAAATTTTTTTGTAGTATCCCCCCAGGAGTATTCTCTTTGATTAAAGCTACAACCTCTCATTCATTCAGCAAATAATTAGAGTAGTTATTGTAGGTTAGGCTCTACAGTTCTAGGTCCTGGGAGGCAGCAGTAAATTAGACAACTCAGGCTCTTGTTGTCACAGAGCTTATGTACTAGCTCGGAGAAGATGGACAACATACAAACAAGATAGTGTCCAATGGTACGTTTGGTTGAATGGTGGCACCCCCAAAAGATATGTCTACCTCCTAACTCCTGGAACCTGTGAATGTGAGCTTACTTGGAAAAATGGCTTTTTGCAGGTGTAATTTAGGATCTAGGATTAGATCACCCTTGATTATCCAGGTGGGCCCTAAAGCCAATGACAAGTGTCCTTATAAGAGACACACAGAAGACAGACACAGAGAGAGGAAGAAAAGGCCGTAAGATGGAGGCAGAGTGGAGTAATGCAGCCACAGCCAAGGAACGCCTGGAGCCAGAAGCAGGAAGAAGCAAGGAAGGAAGGATTCTCCCCTAGAGCATTCAGGAGCCCAGTCCTGCCAACACCCTGATTTCAGACTCCAGCCTGCACTGTGAGTTTCTGTTGTTGAAATCCACCCTCTTTTGTGGTAATTTGTATGGCAGCCCTACGAGACAAATATAAATGGCAATAGATACATACCAAGGAGAAAATAAAACAGGGAAATGAGATGGGGACTCAAATGGGACTGCTACAAATAATGGAGTCGGGAAGGTCCTGCTGAAGAAGCATGTTTTGAGTTACCCCAGTATGTGTGAGATGGGGGTTCCAAATCAGAAGGATAGCAAGTGCAAAGGGCCCAACCTGGAAATGAACTTGGTGTGTTTGAGGACCAGAAAGTCAGTGGGGCTGCTATGGGAGGTGAAAGGGAGTGGGGCTGATGAGTTGGGAAGGGACCAGTTGCTATAGGGCCTCCTAGGCCTTGATAAGAAGTCCAGATTTTCCTCCAACTGAAACCTGTCTCTGAAAGGTCTTACCATTAAAATGACCTGCACGTTCTCTAATTAGCATAGAGAAGTATATATGTATTAAATAAGTAAATATGAATATGTTCTGAACATTCTAATAGTTGGATTTTTAAAATGCAAAACTTTTATAATCTTACTCATGTCATCTCATCCCACTGTTAAATTCTCTATCAACAGTGAATAATGTCACAAATGGTACATATGAAGTCAAACACCACAGGACACAGTAGAAAATCCTCAGAGGGATCCTTTATTTCATTCACTTTCTCCTTCTAAGGTGGAAGTTCAACCTGTAAAAGTTATTTCTTCCGGTTCAGCCAGTGGCTTGGAACCTGCTTTATCAATTACATGGTGTAAGTGGTCCCAGGGCAGGTCCAAGGGTTGTGGATTCACCAGGACTGGATGAGATGGGTTCCAGAGCTCCACGAAGCAGGCTTTCCTAGGACCCTACTCCCTATTCCTATCAGAGACCAGCAAGGAAAAGGATTGGATTTCTATTCACTTTTTCAAAGATCAGATCTGCTTCATTTACATGTCAAGAAAAATTTCTCAAGTATGATAAAATGTTTACCATTTTCCTATAGTTCTTCAAATGCCTGACATTCATCTTTTCTCCCTACCTTTAAAATTCCTTTCTTTTTCACATAACCTTTCTTAACTGCTTCTTATTGTAAAAAACAAAGACAAAACAAAAAACAAAGACAGGTGGATCTGTTGTGCACATGAGCAGGTCCATGTAGAAGAATGCACAGAGATTTATACGCCATTTACAGTAACAGCTCAGAGTACAAAGTCAAGAAGAAGAATCTGAAATACCAGCCTTGCTCTGAAAGAAGCCTGTGTAGGATGAGACACCACTGAAGCTTAATCAGAATTTTCCCTCACCAATTATTTAACAGTGGCAAATGTAAAAACTCTGCAGTTAAAATACATAGCAGTCACTCCCTATAATGCCCTCTCCCCGCTCACCCAACTTCTGAATAATAGGGCTTTTTCAAATTTTATTCCCCTCCAGTTCAAATTTCATGGAAAAAGCTAAAAAGTCATGTTTTAGCAATGTATCCCCACAGAGCACTGTAATTTACCAAGATTTTAATGTGTTTGGACAGAAATCTTACTCAAAGATCAGTGATGACTATTTTCCAGCAAATATTGAGTAAAAAATAATTTTAACCCCAATCTGAGGTGATAAACTTGCTTTTTGGGGGGACACAACTGCTGTAAATGAGATAATTATAGCAATTATCCAGGACAATAAAAGAAAGCCTATGACAGTCTGTCATATTATGGTGAATGTGCATCAAAGCTCATCATGGTTTTTGGTGAGATCTTCCCCATAATTAGTAGCCTGACTTCCAACAAACATGTTCCAGTTGTCCAAGATCTCCTCTTTAGTGAGCTTTTCATCCTGTAGGAGAAAGAAAAGAGCTCTGTCACAGAAACTCTGGTCACTCTGAGTCATCACAGCATGAAGCTCATGGTATTTCATTGATCTGCAACATTTAAAATATTACATTTCATAATAAGCTACTAGGTACCTCCTTCATCTACCATCACTGCCCTGCAAAACCCCAAATTGGAACAGCCTCCTGCTACAAAAGCTGTGCGAAAATATATCAGAAAAGTCCTCAAGGAACTGAGGAGCCGGAGTCTAGTTATGTCTACACACAATGCTGGCATTCCCAAGACAGGCCCCGAAGAATTC